CTACTAACATGTGAACTTTTGGAAAGTTGGACTTTAGTTGAGTAGGTTGAAACATCAATTCGATTCACGGGTTGTCTTTGTTTTAACTTTTATGACCTTAGAAGGACCTATTTGAGCTTTTTTGAAAACGAGAGCTGAAAAAGTTATGGAAGCAAAAATGACGAAAACGGTCTCTCTGTCTCTCGCAATTATAGTGCTTGTAGTAATCTGCAATTCCTGTAGAGCAATGTCATTTATGGAGACCAACAGCAGCGCCTCCACCATCATCGCCGACGAGGACGACTTGGAGTTCCTGGTGGATTATCACAGCAGTAGAATTAGAATCCTCCGAAGTGGAGGATCCGGGACTGGCGGAACAAGTGATCCGAATAGACCAGCAATAGATTGTAACAGATCACCTCTGAAATATACGAGCTGCGTTCCGGTACCGAACTCCGGCAGCAGAAAACCAGAGAACAAAGGCCTTTACAATCGTGGTCGATGAAGCTGCAGATTTGTGGAGCTTACTTACGACTCTGGCCTGTATGCACAAGTTGAAAGTCGAATGAAGTACTATTTAATTTTCCTTTATAGCCCTTGTTGTTTGCTCTATGTATGGATTTTATCAATTCTTTCCAATCTGCTAGGGTATGTCCTATTGGTCTGCAAATAATTGTATATACGTACGGCTCCTTTTGCTTGAATTTCTTCTTCTTTTTTTTAGTCTGCTGTGAGCACTAACTACCGAACAATACAACTGTATAACATACTGCTAAATTGGTAACTATGCAGTACAAACCGGGTTGTCTATTAAAATATTAAATTACGATTAGTATCGCGGTTGTCGACGTTATGCTATGATTGCGTATAAATTTACAGTATCATGGTAACTTTAAAAAGTTACGAAACAACTGTTATACTGTATCATGGTCTCTTTCAAGTATTTCAAAGTTTAGTATTCCAGCAGAGAGGAGAATGTTGAGGTTTGCAAACTCCAAAGATTTCGAAACTCGTGATTTCAATATACCATCAAAAGTGGTGCATGCTTTCACATTCCTTACACGAATGAAACTAGTGAACTGTAAAGGTTTGCACATCCAGCTCAGTTGGTAGAGCGCAAAGCTCTTAACCTTGTGGTCGGGATCGAGTTCTACCGTGGGCAATTCATAATTGCCAGAGGTCTTTCACGGAAGTTGCTCTCAACCTAGCGTTGGGGGCATCCTACTACCCTACCTCCCCCATACCTCATTACATAGGAATAGGGTCAGCTAATTTATAGTTTGCAATATTTGTTTGTTGAGAGTATGAGTACCAACACTCTCTTCTTAAGCGCTTACGCATCGATCAATGTGATTCCCTGATATGGTTATCATCAAGGGGTGATATATGCAATTGGCTTCAAGATCTCCAGATTTGAAACTAAAGCTGCAAAATTGGGTTTTGATTTGTCCACGTTCAAACCACAGGTGTGAAACTATGTTAGATATTGAGAAATTTCATAGCTTTTTTATAGACATTTCTTAGATACTCCGGAACAAGATGATAATAGTTTATGTGACTTTTGAAGGTTTTAAAGAAAGTGTCATTTTCAAAAGATCGTTTCAAGAAAAGAAATGAAGATATTCAACTGATCTGCTTTAGACAGAGAATGGTAAGAGTGATATGTTATTTGATCATCTTTACAGGCTATATGAAGCTTCAGTATGAGCTTTCTATCATTAAGGACTGCACATGTTGGCATAGTGATATTCTAGGTATTGATGATTGGCAGATGCTAGGACTTGTGCTCAGTCTGCTAAACTTATTTGCGTACTCCTTTGTGGCTCGATCTATTGGTGTGCTCTAGGACATAATACATCAAACAACACCACACTGAAAGAGTATACATCAGATTTCTCGGTTAGTATGTGACAATGGTAGTAATCGGGATCTAAATACCGGAAGCTGCCCTTAACAGCAGTGTTCCCTCCAACTCAACAAGAAAGTTCGAATGCGAACATTGAAGAAATTTATCGATACCTCTAAGATGAGCCAACAATCTCTTCTTTTTCTTTCCAATATAGTCAAAAACCTCAGAATCCCAATATCCAGACTGCAGACATAAAAGTAGCCAAATTAGAACACAACCTCATTATCACGCCAAATGGAATTTAAGAACTCCTTAAACTGTGGGTGGTCATTCCACGCCTCAAATATAACAGAAAGGGCGAGCTACCATCGGATCAAACTGTTGAAATGTCAAAGTTTAGAGAAAATTGGTTCAAGTTAGGCACCTAATATTACAATGTCAAAATTAGGTGCAACAATGTTTGAAAATTAAATGGGTAAATTACAAACTTTAGTCACTAAACTTTAGGGTATTTATAAGATTAGTCCTTAAGTTTCAACTATAAATACCCTAGCTCATTTAGTTTCAAAACCATCCCAAAGCATTCTAGCTTTCTTCCAATACTAGAGAGATTTTAGAGAGTTTCTTGAGAGTTGTTTTCTCCTTTTTATCTAGAGAGAATTATCATTGTTTTCTCCTTGGTAGATCGAGAGAGGTTGTAATTCCTATTTTCTCATAGTGAAATTCTTCTACCGTTGCCCGTGGTTTTTACCCTAAATATTTTAGGGGTTTTCCACGTAAATTTTGTGTCTCTTTTATCTTCATTTTTATTTTCTCAAATTATCAGTTGCGATTTTTCTCTATTCGATAGCGGTCTTCCGCAACAATTGGTATCAGAGCTAGATTAGAGTGTGTAATATTTGCTTATTGTCTTTGTGGTTGCCATCAAAATGTGGATCCTCCAACATAAGAAATTACAAATGGGTGATTAAAGTAATTGCCACTTCAAGACAATAGGTGATTATTTAATTTATCAAATCATAATTTGAATCGGTCACAAATAGTTCCATATTTTGATAATTACGGTTGATATAAATCTCCAACAATTGCTTCAATTTTAGATTACGATTTTTTTAATGAATTTATTTCTATGGTTATTGTTAAACAAGAAAAAAAAACTGATATTAATGAATCTTCGACAAGGTGAGAGACTTCAGATTTGTACTAATCTCTTTGCTCTACTAAATCCTCTGCTGCCGGTAGGAGGAACCCAAACAAATATGGTTGTAGACAAGGATTTGCAACCAAAACAACACCGCTACAAGGACCACATCAGTGCGCTGCGCTGCTCAGGCCTCGAGATTTGCCATAATGATTAACCACAACGCAGCTTCGAAACTTGGACAGAATCATATCTATAAATGAAACGATTGGATTGGCTACGTTGGCCGGTCAGCCCCATTCTCCTCTCAAACGCACTCCATCTCCCATTGGCTGTCACCATCAATGCTATATTTCAATCATCTTCATCAATGCTTCACCAGATAAGCTGCTGGTTTTTTATTAGGTAAATACACGAATACTCTTTGATTATAGTGTTATTTTAAGGATTAAATTATATTATTTCTCATTGATTTTTTTCTTTCTATTTAAGTGAATTATATTTTATTTTTCTCTTATTTTAATTTGGATAAGGGGATCCTTAGATAGGTTTCTGACCATATTTTCTCTATGCTCAAACATCTGAAGAGTCTTTCTGTTAGAACTTGTCAAACCATTTTTAACTGGTTTTTTTTCTATTAAACAGGCAAATTAAACAACTTTAATAAGATCGGGGAAAATTGGAAAAAAAATTCAGATGGGTTTCCGAATACATGTACTTTTTAGTTTTTAAATTACTTTCTTTTATATCGAGAATTATGAGAATCGGTTGTTGCAGATTTTTCACTAGCTGCAGTAACAATGTTAGTAACAGAGTCACTGTGAGATTGTTTCCGTTGTTGCTTTTGTTCTTTACACAAACCGATTGAAGAAAACGAAGATAAAGGCATTTTTTGGGGGGAAAGCGATGGAGATTTAGGGAAGAAAGACTTGTAAAGCTCATGCAAATCTTCCATGGAACTTCTAATTTCAATTTGATTCAAAGACGTCAAAGCATGACCTTGAAAAGCTTCTTTACCACTAATCTTGAAATAACCGGTTGCAGCATCGTTGGTGCTAGTTGCGGTGACAGAACTGAATTTTTAGCATTTTCTTTCTTTCATAAATATGTTCTTGCTAATCGAACATGGCCTGTTCTGGGAGGGTGCTAGATTGGTTTAGAGAGAGAGAGAGATAAAAAGAGTGAAAGAAGAAGAAGAAATGGAAAAAAAAATTTTTATAAGGAATCAAAATTACCTCGTTTTGAATAAAATTTGATTCAGTGTAAGAATCTAAAATGATGTCATTTTGGTGCATGTTATCATATAATAACGCCGTTAGTAATTTAATGATTGAGTGAGTAAAATAATTTAATCTGTAAAGTTCAGTTAATGAAATAAGAGAGTAAAATTTAATGAGGAACTGTGTAATTACTCTATTTTAATTATTAAAAATTATAAAATAATTAGAGTGTTGTTTTGTTAAATTTTTTATATCAAGAGTTATAAAATGATTATTTATATATTTTAAAATCATTTTTTTAGTAAAAAAATTGAAGACAGTTTAGGCTGAATGTTAACATGATTAACGAAATATATTAGTTGTTAGAGATTCTAAGATAAGATTTTATCATATTTCAATTAGTATATCGATGTCCAATTCATATTCTGTTGTGTGATCATTTTATAAATTTTAATAATTAAAAAATTTAACAAAAAAAATCCTATAATTAGGTACTATTTTATAATACTATTTGTACACTTTACCTTTTTATTAATATAATGTTTGTTATTAGATAGTGCCTTAAAAATCTCGAGCAATTAAGTGATGTAACTTATTATTTCAGCCACCAAATTAGAGATAGCAATGGACAATGATAGTCTTTGCTGATGGTCAATCCAACTGCTTGCTTTTGTGAAGAACTGTAATATCGGTTGCTACATTGATTAGATATACAATCGACAATTGAAAACGATCCGACTGTGATTTTAAATCACTTTCACATATTCCATTAAATAATTATGAATTTCCACAACCAAAACCAATAAGAAGATGAACGTAGAATGAATATATTATTAATTAAAAATATAAATTATATAAAAATTAAAATTTACAGGGAATGGTCGTCCCTGTAAATTCGAAAAATCATATAAAGAGTTGTTTGAGGAGTGGTACTAACTGGTCTGAGATGATCTTATTTGTTCTTTGAGAGGGATGAATGGAATCCCAGAACACATACTTGTTTGCATCTGGGCATGTGTGCGGAGTGTGCCGGTTGCACAGAAACCCCGTCTCGAAGAACCCTGTTCCGCAGCACCCTTCTTCGACAACCTCAAATCCTGTCACTCAACCCAACATACCAGAGATTAACTGAGAACTGAAGTGCATGCATAATACAGTATGGTATACGTTTAAATTATATTTTGAAAATTTACCATATTGGGAGGGTTTTGTGATGAGCTGAAAAAGCAAGTCATAAGCATCAGCGAAGAACACTTTTAACCCGGGAAGATCCTTGTTGAGCTTCGCCACTGTAGCTTTTAACTTGCCATTGAATTCCAAGGCTACTCTGTTGCGTTCCTCCAAGCAGTTAAGAGGATTGTGGAAGTTCGTCGTTCTCTGCACCGGCAAACAACCCATCGGCGGGAGTCCGGTCAGGGACAATTTCCGAGCTCCGAGGCTGTAAATCTGTCTAACGAAATTTTCGGCAATGCCGATGAGGAAATCCTCGTATTGTTGAACGGTGAGTTGGGACTTTCTTTTGGGAAGCGCGTAGTAGTTCTCGACGAAATCGTTGGTTCCTATGCTGATTACATACAGTGCCTCGGAGATTACCTCACTCGCCGTCCGGTCACCGAGATATGCTCGGAGTTTCTTCTGGTACTCCTTGTAGTATTCTACTTCTTTCCACAGAGGAATCACTTTCTGTCAAAACAGCGCATAAGTTCACCCTTCAATAATCAACAACTTGTTAAATGGTTAGTTCAATTACCAGTATATCGGCCGTGGCGTTGTCGTAGCCAGTTGCAGCAGAAGCAAAGCAAACTCCGGTGGCGAAGTCAGAGATGTTAAAGGCAGGATCCAAGTAGGCAGGAATAATAGGTTTCAGCCCAAAGCCCTCGGAAATGAAATCCGGAGGAAGTCGGCCGTTGCAGAATCGGCCGGTGGGGGTGCCGCCGGGAAAATCGCGGCCATAAGGCTCGAAATTACACTTGGCGATTGTCGGGATGAAATTGTTGTTGCCGGAATCAACGGATGAATCTCCGAAGACGATGACTGCTGACACTTTAGCGTCGGATTTAGAAGCGATTGCTAAGATTTGAATGAAGAAAATGCAGGGAAAGATCATGGATGCCATGACAGTTCGATAATTCCAGTAAGCATGGACAAGCATTTATAGCTGATCAAACATGAAAACGTGACGACAATCGGATCTTTAAATCAAACTAACTTTAATTAATTATCCTGAAAAATTAGACAACGTGGTTTTATCGGTGTTAAGTATCCAAATTATTCTTTGTAGGTTTTATGTAAATAATTTATATGCCAATATAACTCGAAAAAAATATGATAATAAATATTATTACTATAATATCATTTTTTTATATTTATATATAAATCTTTAACAAAACAACTAAAAACATCAAACACAAAATTAATGAATTTACATATAAATTTTTTATTAATATATCTATAATTATTTGTTAAATAAGATTTTATAAATATATCATTGAAGAAATTATATAACTATAAATTGGTTTAATAAAAAAATTATGCTTTGATCTCTTTTAATATTTTTAAGGTTAAAGGGTTACTTTTTCCCTGATAGATCCAATTTATTATTTTCTTTCTTATTGTATTTTCGTATCAATTTAACCATTGAAATTGCTCAATTGTATCATTTATACTTTACTCCTAATTTAAAACCATTAACACTTAATACTAAACCCTAAATCACAACTCCATAACCTCTAATCCGTTAACCTTGAACCCTAAATTCTAACTTAAAATTTATAATTCGGGGTTTTAAGTTAGAGGTAAGGTATAAAACGATACAATTAAACAACTTGAAAGACTAAATTGATAGGAAAATACGATAGAGACGAAAATAAAAAATTGAATCTATTACAAAGTAAAAATACCCTTAAGCCTATTTTTAAATTCATATTGGCCACTCAATAAAAATTATGATTTCATTCCTCGATGTAATATGTATGTATGTGTGTGTAATATATATATATATATATATATATATATTAGCTGACCCTATTCCCATATGTAACGAGGTAAGGGGGAGGTAGGGTAGTAGGTTGCCCCCAATGCCAGGTTGAGAACAGTTTTCGTAGAAAACTTCCATTATGAATTGCCCTCAATGGGACTTGATCTCACGACCACAAGGCCTTGCGCTCTACCAACTGAGCTAGATGGGCAATTAATGGATATATATATATATGTGTGTGTGATAAAGAGTTTGTATTATTGTTTTAAAATTGCTAGTTGGGATGCTAAAAAGCAGAAAATGGAATAAATAAGCGTATTAGTTAGTTGGAAATTAATGGAGATTACTTGAAGAATGGGACTGGAAGCTGTACGAGTTAAATGAAGAAGATGAAGACTTTGAGTTCAGTTTAATTTAGTTATCAGTTATGTTTAATCATAAATAACAACAAAGTTATCAATTATTATCTATTAAAAGTTTGAATTTAAATAACTACGTCTACTATATAATAATAATTAATTAAATATTTTAAATAAATATTATATTATAATTACTTTAAATTATTAAAAAAATATGAAAATGGTAACACAATTTGAAGATGGATGACTAATAATTGCATGGGGGTCCACTCTCACCTAGCACATGCTCTCTTAATTTCTAGTGATGGCAATTGTTCATATGCTGGGTTATCTTGCTTCAAACTAAATATATAGAGTTTAAATTTAAGGGGAAATTATTATTTTTCCATCGCTCAATTTTATTTTCATTTTTATTTTGATTATTAAAGTATATAAATTTATAATATTTAATTTTTAAATTGTTTTCACTTTTATCACTCTATTGTTAAATTATCAATTAGACTATAATATGATAATTTAAACAAAACAATATCATTTTGTATGTTTATAAAAAAAATCTTATTTTTTTCTTTTTTTTTCCTCTCTTTTTCTCCCTCAACCAAAACCAAACTCAAATTTCGACCACCACACCGACCGTTATTCTAATCATCACCAATCACTGTCATTAAAAGTCGATGAGTCCTAAAATTTCTCATTAAACTCATCTTGCCCTTCAAAACATTAATCTAGCGTCCGTTTAACCAGAAAACACCCCAAACTCTACGAATCAAAAGTCCAACAACTTCAATTAGTTGAACCACCACCGTATGACATCACTTCTGACAAAAAATAATATCATTTGACTCATCTTTTCTTCATAGAAAAGTATTTCGATTTAGTTTCTCATAGAACTTCGCAAAAGCCTATAAAAGTTTCCCAAACTTTCAACATACTCCATCGATCTTAATATTTGATTTATCATATCATCACAATTTTGAGATATATTGTTATCCTCACTAGCGTTTGCCTTTTCGCCGGTGGGATCCTTTAATCTACCACTATAGCATTGAAGGTGAAAATGAATTTATAATTGAAGTTCGCTTATGATATTTAGGTTTTGATAAAAAATTGAGATTTATAAATTTGAGTAAAATTAAGGTTGAATTCGAACTCAAATGATCGAAGTATGTCAATATAAAATTCTCGGATCTAATGATTGTTGAAAATAACGAACGACGTAGTAGCCAATCTAAAATAATAGTAATAAATACTGATTTAACACACAATAAAGATAAATAAATGATTGTATGACTAAAACAAAAGTAATTCAAAATTTTAGTAATTATATTAAAAAAATAAATTTTAATGACCAAAATAAGTGAAAAGAAACTAGAGTGATGATTTGCTCAATTTGCCCAAATTTTAAACTTGTTTTGAACAAATGGAAATGCCAGCTTTTATTTAATAATAATAGCCAAATAATAAATAGGGTAAGCTACACAAATGGTCACTAATGTTTGGGTAAGTGTTCATTTTCATCACTTATGTTTGAAAAGTCACAAATTAATCACTAACATTATCGTTTGTTACAAAATGGTCACTCGATATTAACATTCTTTAACAATAGTTACTACAATAACGAAATGCTGATGTGGCACCTTAAACCAGTTGACTCACTATGTTTGATTCTCCTCCTCCTCATCCTCCTCCTCCTCCTCCTCCTCCTCCTCCTCCTCCTCCTCCCCTCCTCCTCCTCCTCCTCTTCTTTTTCTTCTTCTCCTCCTCCTCCTCTCTTCTCTCCTCCTCCTCCTCCTCCTCCTCCTCCTCCTCTCCTCCTCCTCCTCCTCCTCCTCCTCCTCCTCTCTCCTCCTCCTCCTCCTCCTCCTCCTCTCCTCCTCCTCTCCTCCTCCTTCTCCTCTTCTTCTTCTTCTTCTTCTTCTTCTTCTTCTTCTTCTTCTTCTTCTTCTTCTTCTTCTTTTCTTCTTCTTCTCTTCTTCTTCTTCTTCTTCTTCTTCTCTTCTTCTTCTTTTTTTTCTTCTTCTTCTTCTTCTTCTTCTCTTCTTCTTCTTCTTCTTCTCTTTTCTTCTTCTTCTTCTTCTTTTCTTCTTCTTCTCTTCTTCTTCTTCTTCTTCTTCTTTTCTTTCTTCTTCTTCTTCTTCTTCTTCTTCTTCTTCTTCTTCTTCTTCTTCTTCTTCTTCTTCTTCTTCTTCTTCTTCTTCTTCTAAACCGTTAGTGATTTGCTACTAAGCATAGCTACTGAATCATTCTCAAATGGAATATTGCTGCTAAGCATGGCTACTCAAACATCATTCTAAAATGGGATAATATGCTAGTGATTTTGTTTACAAAATTAAGTTTAAAAAATTATCCAATCAAACAAACACCTTAAACCCATAATTTTAATGTTTAAAACACACACAAAATTCATTAACTTATAAAGCTAAAGCAGTAAACCACCAAACCTAGAATCTGAGTAAGATTCTTTTAACTTTCATTAACTTATAAAGCTAAAGCTAAAACACTGATAATTTTATTAACTTCTAAAATAAAATACCCACATTGTTGTGGACGTCACTACTGGAATCAATATTATCGCCATTGTCTTCATTATTATTGTTGTTGTCCTGAAGATTGATATCACCAACTGCTAATATATCTTTCTTGTTGAAAATGTTCTTGTTGTGCATCCAAACCTTAAGAACTCCTCTACGTAAAAGCATGCATCTTTTCTTTTTGTTCTTTGTTAAACTTTGTTTTTGGCCTCTTTTTTTTCTCTTGGGTTGTTATTATTTATCCTGGGTCACGAAATATGAAAACTGTTGAGATGATGATGGTACTCATCCAACGGCCAAGAGTAAGCCATGGTCAAAACCAACAACATGTGCAATGCAGAAGTATTGTAGTAAAAGTATGGCACAGGTGATGGTGGGGTAGGTCAAACGGTCGGTTAAACATGCCGAGTCAATTGGTTTAACATGTCATGTTAGCATTCTGTTACTCCAATAACGATTGTTAATGGTTGTTAAAGCCGAGTGGTCGTTTTATAGCAAACAATAATGTTAGTGACCGATTTGTAACTTTTCAAACATCAGTGGTGAAAACGAACCTTTACCCAAATATTAGTGACCATTTGCATAATTCATCCTAATAAATACAATCCAGTTGTCTTAAACTAAATAAATCATATAAAACACAACCTAAAAAACGAAACCAAACAGAAAAAAGAAAGCTAAGAAACAAGTGAAAATCTTTAAAAAGAACAAAATGTTGGCAATTCCTCTTCTTCGCACCTGTTATTGAAAATTTTGATGTTCTCAACGACGAAGAAAACAGAAAAGAGATAGATCCTAACGAGATCAAAGAGAACCTAAACAACTACGATGGGTTTAGCCACCATCTCTCCTCCTAAGCTTGCATCGTAACACATCGTGGGGCTTCCTCAACCCAAAAGCAATCGTCCAATCCCAGTTCCCGAGCATATGGTAGAAGATGGGTCGTATGTTACAAACTCTCGAAACGAAACGAAATATGCATACATGAAATTGATTTGTTCGACAACGTGCCTCCCAAGTCTTGGTACTAATCTCCGATCGATCTAACTTTGATGATGATAGTTTCCCACCGTTCTCGCATCACCCTCTATAATTATGTTAGTGAACTCCAGAATTGCGGCGAATTGAATGACATGAACAATTCTTTTCATTACCCGGCATAATTATTCTTAGTATATATACATTTGAAGCTTCCACTTTTTTATATATAAATTTGAGATAAATACAAGCTAGTGTATATTCAAAGATACTTCAAGTGTAACACTCTAATCATTTGATAATGAAC